AAAAAATAATCTTGTGCATGAAACAAAGCTTCATGGTGTGGGTCTTTTCACTTGTGGTGTCATGTCAGTCCTTAAAATGTTTTGGATTTTGTATTTTCAGATTAGGGATGTTCAACCTGTATTCAATTGCTTTTTTAAATTCCATTAATCGACTGCTAGGGAGTTGGATATTGTTTTAGTGTTCTTGATTCTTAAAAACTTTAAAGCTCCTCCAAAAATTCTTCTGTCTACTTTTCAAATGTCTTTTATTCATTCTTAATTAGTGGACAAGACTGTGACACTGAAGTTGTTGGTCTGGGTCAGGTTTAGCATCACCGTAGCACAGGACAAAGTCCGGAAAGGGAATGTATTTCTCCATCAGTAAGATGGAAAAGTGAGAGGCAGTGTGCCCTCAAGTGGCTTTGCACCAGCCCAGCAGCTGGTTTCTCTTAGCCTCTTGTCCCCAGATGTTTCCTGGGCAGTCAGGTGTGATGTAGTGGGCATGGGAGGGCAGGGCTGGTGGGAGGGGCTCATTTGAGTGCTAGGTTTATCCCCTTTCTGCCATTATTTAAGTAAGTAAACCAATTATTCTGTAAAGTGTGTTGTTAGTGCCTGGCTCACAGCTGGTGCTGTATTGGTGCTATTAACAGAGGACTGTGAGTGACACAATATCTAGGAATGGAGATCCTGGTCCACTGCTGATTAGCAGTTGCTACAGGTGCAGGTGTTGAGGCCTAAGTGACAGATCCTTCTGTTGCATCTGTCCACCTGATTTTCTGGGCAAAGCACTGGATGTCACTGGATCTGCCACATCTGGGGCTACTGTTCTTCTCTGGTCCAGATTGTCCTTTTTTTAAGTTAAAAAAAGTTAACCCACACACACACACACACCACTACCACCATACTTGTGTCTTTTAGATCACAATGAGACAAGAATTTGAGAACATGAAGAGTGGGAGGCTCAGGATCTCACTGCCCTTCATTCCTTACCAGTCACAGCACTCAGCACCTAGATAGTCTCAGCCCGGTTTCCTGCCCTCTACTGTGAGCAGTGTGGCTTCATCATTAGTAAATAAAGGTCCTGCTCAGAGTTCATGTTTCCATCTCAGATTGAGAAGTGGGTGTCCCAGGCCTGCTGCTCGCTGCCTACATCTGGATTCCCATGGAACATGCTGGACTATTATTGTCATCTAGGAGGCCAGAGGCTGTGTAGGGCCTTTCATACTTTCTGTACTTCTCAAATCTTAGGTAGGGTAAAAGATAGTCATGCTTCTATACACTTACTGAAGATAGAAAAAGGCATTTTTTTTCTAGTATATTTGTAACTTTGCCCAGGATAAAAATTGGGTTGAATCTGAGTTAACGCTTCCCTTTTGTCTCCTGTGGCTTACAAAGAGACAGGTTTCTCCCCTAATCCATGTACATCAAAAGTATCAAAAAACAAGCAAGAAGCCTGCATGCTGGACAGAAGGCCAGGGTAGATGTGAAGCAGGCCACCCAACCCTGGTGGATCATCTTTGGTTATGTTCAGCTCTTTCTGAGAGAAGGAAATTCATTCCCAGGAGAGGACAACGAGACTCAGAGAGTTCTTGGCTTGGTTGCCCTGCTAGAAGGTGATAGAGAGGGTCTTTGTATTCGGGGCTGTCTGTATCTGAAGCCAGGACTTTTCCACTGCAGCTGGAGGAGTTCCTTTAGGACCAAGGAACTTGGATACTTCTCCTGACTCCACCTATATGGGAGGGTAAGTCCTGCCAACAGCAGGGTTGGCCTTGTGTCTGTTGGTACAGAGCATCAACGGGCCTTGCTTAAAAGGCCAGTACTGAGCATGCCTCTATTCCAGCAGGCCCACAAATCTCAGGCATCACTAAAGTCGAGTGTATTGGCAGTCCTCACCTCTGAGTCAGACGCTAAGTCTAAGAAAGCTCCTGATCTATTGCAGATGGCCAACTTGGGTCACATGGCTTCTGTATTAGGAAGACTTCAAGAGTAAATAACATCACTGCCAGACTGGGGGCCAGGCATGATCAGCAAAACCTGGGCCAGAGATGCACCAGCTCATTTCTATTCTTAGAAAGAGAAATCATAACTTTTAATCTTGTAAATTAGATAGCCACATGAGGCTGTTGAGAAGATCTGTGGGAACCTTAGATTCCCAGGCTAAGGGCTACTAGTCAGCCTCTCAGGGGTGGGGAGGAGAGGGGCCTCTGCACCTGAAGGCAAAGGGTCAAGGCACTTCATTATGTATGGTCAATTTGGGTCACCCATGACTGACCCAGGCTCTATGCTTCATTTGTTGAGTTACCACAGGCAAGTTGAGAATCTCTTTAGGTCTCCACTTCTTCATTTAGAAAATGAAATGGGGCAAGGGCATGATTTGTTTCCCTCATTTCTGTGATCATTTCAGATTTTATATCTTTAAGATGCTTATTTAATGGATATCTCAAATAAGAGGTATAAGAATAATAAGTTGCACTTTATGATTTTTTGCTTTCCTCTGGGCTTATCATCTCTTAAATATGCTCCTTCAGGTATGAAAAAAATGACAACCAAGCTCTATTTTTGAGTATGTCACTTTCCTAGGACCCTGGAAAATTACATTTGAAGCAACTCTTCAGTCATATAACTTCTGTTTCTGCTGAAATTATGTTACTGTCCATTAGTATTTTACATTTTATGATGGAAAATTTGAAACATATGCAAGAGAATTGTATAACGAGCCCCCATGGACTCAACCAGCCTCAATAAATATGCACATTTTGTCAATCTTGTTTTTTTTGCCTTCCCCCACCCCAGGAACACTTTTGGCAGAGGAGAATACTGGAGTATTTAAAGCAAATCTCAGACATCATTTCATTTGTGTTTCTAACAGAGGAAGTCCCCCTTTTTGTAAAATGTAGCTATAATAGCTACACCTACCCAAATTAACAGTGATATCATTGTTATTACACTCACCCAAATTAATAGTGATGCAGAAGTTCTTTGAATTTTGGCAAATTGAGGAGGGAATGGGGATTGGGATGAAGGAGCTCTGGTTTGGATTTACTCCTTTCTTCCAGAAAAAAAAAAAAAGGTGGAATTCACTCATTGAGGAGGATCCTGGGGTTTTAGCTAGTAGTGGGCCCACCCCTACACAATTCTGAAAGAAATGTGGGAAAGACCTGTCTGTTCAGAGTAACAGATGTAATTAGCAATTACTGAGTACCTACTGTATACATCTCCACAAAAATCAACTCTTTTAATCTTCACACCAAAGCTAAGAATAGGAACCAAGGTGCCAGGAGGAGCTTCCCAAATATCACCTTCTGGTTGGTCAATATCATAATGCTTCCAAAACTCCCTCCTGGATCAGTAGGAAATCTTTCCAAATAGAATCAGCACACAAGGCTGTGTGGTTTGTACCTTAATCTACCCAGATGTTTAACTGCTACAGAAACATTAACTAGTTCATTCTTTAGGAGTCCATGGAAAGCCAGATGTGGCGGTATATGCCTATAATCCCAGTGGCTCAGGAGGCTGAGGCAGGAGGACTGCAAGTTGGAGGCCAGCCCCAGCAACTTACAGAGGCCCTAAGCAACTTAGGGACACCCTGTCTCAAAATTTAAAAATAAATAAAAAGGGCTGGGGATGTGGCTCAGTGGTTAAGTGCCCCTGGGTTCAATTCCCAGTACAGTAAATAAATAAATAGATAAAGCCAGAGTCCCTGGAAAATATGTAACTCAGGATAATAGGGTTCTCTTTGTAGAGAGAACATGAAAATGCCTTCCTCTCCCCAGCCCAGGCTAAGGGATTTGGCTTACTTCTTCTCCTTCTCTCTAATTCCCTTTTCCCAACCAAATGGATATACAGATGGTTCCTGACTTAGAATAGTTTGGTTTAGGATTTTTCAACTTTACATTGATGGTAAAGTGATACTCATTCAGTATTTTGAATTTTTTTTTTTTTGGTATGGCAAAGTCTTTACTTTTAAATGATTATCAGTACTCCAAATGATAATATGTAACAAGTCCTTGAATCCTCTTATCTAGTAATTTTGAACATAGCCCTAACAAGTATGTTAGTATTTGTTGTTCAAACCTTTAGTCAGAATGGATGAATTTAAGGCTGCTGATGCTTCAGATAAATTACAAATAACTATTTACTTCATAGATAGAGCCCCTGACCTTCAAGAAAGTATAAGGGGAAAATATTTAATCCTTTTCTTTCTGTAAAGAATTGTTTTTTCCCTACTAAATCTAAGAAAGAAAAGGACAACATCGATACATCCGTTGCTTGAGCTGAAGGCATAGGAAAACAGACAACACATACTTATTAAATTTCTAAGAAGGATAAGGTAAAAAGATGACACCTTTGGATAAGGACTAAGGCTATACAAAGAAGCTAGATTTGCTATTCTCCAAAAGGGACCTTTTATCTCACAGAGAAATAATTTCATGCCTTTTGTAAGAATAGAACTCAAGTTCTGCTAAAGCTTCGTATTCTGCAAGGCACTTCATGTTCTGAAGTGCCAATCTAGGAAACGGGCTTCTTTTTCCTCCTATCCATTTAAATGGTAGTTTTCATGGATTTTCGGTCGCATGTTGCAGACAAAGGCCAAGAGATTATTCAAGACTGCATCCCCCTGTTCTGCTGGAAGCAGGTCTGTGGGGTAGTCATTTTTTACTGGATCTCATTCTCACTTCAGAGCTGCCACAGGATCTCAGTGCTAGAGCTTCCTTGGCATTGAACTCTTTCTCCCTCTGCAGGCGATACTGTTCAATTTCAGCCCTTTCCTACACTTCCCTCTCCTTGGGAGGGGCTCCAGGCATGTGTCCCATGCCTGTGTGTATAAGCTTCCCACCACACAAAACCCGGATACAGCCCTGCGCTCCTGCAGATCAAGAGAATAATGTGCCCATAGCCATATCTTGATAAGTCTCATGTTTCCCCAGTCATGGAATCTTCCTGTGTGTGTGTGTGTGTGTGTTTTAATTCCTCTTTGTAATATGCAAGGGTTTAACCTGATTTGTGTTTCATTTGTACAGATGAAATTATGCAGCAGGAAGTCAGGCCTTTGGTGGCAGTGGACATAATAGAACAGCTTCACCGGCAATTTGCCATTCTTTCAGGTAAGGGGCAAATTCATTTGAATGTTTTGTTGGGATTCCTATGGGAAGAGCCCAGTCTCTGGAACCTTGATGAATGTTAGGCTCCTATCTCACTCATCCCTAAGCCTCAGCCAGGACTGGAATGGAGTGAGGATATCCTGCTGGCCATAGCCAGGAGCTTGTGGAGGAGGTTGCCTTTACTGTTGGGGACAATCTTGATCTTTCCTAAGGGAGTTTATGCCTTGAGGTTGTAAAGAACAGAGTTGGAAAGATCTTGAAGAAGAACAAAGAAATAACTGCTGGATCAGCTACCAGGGTGAATTCTCCCATTGTCCTATTGATGTTCTCCCAGGAGTCAACCTGGGGAGTCTTGCTGAAAGGACTCATGAGCACTGTTGAGGTTATTTGTTCTCTGAGACATTTGTCTTTTATTCTCAGCTCTTCTAAGGAGATTTCCATACAACATTAAATTGGGATTAAAGACGATATGGTACTAGGAAGAGACTAGAAATTTCCTGAGCTCATCCACAACCCTGGGAAAGTTGTTGTCACTTGAGAACATTCTTTTTCATTCATTTAGCTGAGGTTGACATCACTTCAGTTCCTGAAACTAGGAGTGACACCAAATTATTATAAATAAATTATAGTAAAACCAAACTCGAAAGTCTACAATAGTGAGATGAGGCCCTTGACTGACACACAGGGGAATAGGGTGGCCAGTCACTCTTGAGCTTTTACACCTGTTCTGGAAAAAACAAAAAATAAACCTAAAACCATCTTAGTTACATCATGGAGAGAATGTGCAGTCGGTATCAATCTTACTCTATGACTGGGAATATGAGGAAGTCACATTATTTTCCCTTTCTCAGATCATATTTAATCTGCTTCAAAGTCCTCAGCCCACTGATATGAAGGAAATGTAATTTCACTTATTGGGATACTTCTTCCCATTCCAGCATTACATCCTGGGTCGGAACATTGCATACAATCCAGAACATTTCCCGATCTTTCCTCAAGTGAAAACTCCATTAATGCAGGGTCTTTATTTTTCTTGTTTCTGTATTGCCAGACTTTAGAACAGAGAATGAAACATAAAAGGTGCTCAGTACAAAATTATCTAAGTCCTCTGATTTACCCTGGGATGTCAGTGGACTCACTGCTCCTCAATGCCCAGCTTAGGACCTAGCAATGGCCCTGGGAAGCACCTAACCAGCCCCCTGAAGGTGCTATCTCTCAGCTTCCTGTGGCGAGTCCAGGCTGTGCAAGACAAAAGGCAAGATGGAGACTGTCTTCTGGGTTCCTAGAAACTGGAGCTGTGACCCTGCAACATAGAAGGCCCCAGGGCCCACCTGCATCAGGGTCTGCAGGGATGGTGGGGAGCATCTGGGGTGGATTCCTATAGCCTTGGACCGAAACTCTGTTGGCACAATATATGATTCTGACATTTATCATTACACCATGGCTCATCGAAGACAGGAGTCCAGTGACTGGTTAATTTATAATTTTTTTTTTTAGAGAGAGAGAGAGAGAGAGAATTCTTTTTAAGATTTATTTTTCATATTTTGGACACAACATCTTTATTTTATTTTTATGTGGTGCATGAGAATCTAACCCAGCGTCCTGCGCATGCCAGGCAAGCACGTTACCGCTTGAGCCACATCCCCAGGCCCATTAATTTATAATTTAATGGTTCATTTTTATCCCTTTTGAGTATTATTGAAGCATTTTTTTAAATTCTTCTTTTTTGTTTTTATTTTCTTTTAGTTGTAGAGAGACACAATAACCTTTATTTTAATCATTTATTTTTATGTGGTACTGAGGATCAAACCCAGTGCCTCACACATGAGAAGCAAGCGCTCTCCCTCTGAGCTACAGCCCCAGGCCTTCATTCTTATTTCTTAGAGGCAGTGTGAGAAAAACAGACACCATATAGCTCTATATAAGGATTTGGATTCTACTGCTAACTAGCAGTGTCACTTTACTTTTTGAAGTTTCAGTTTCCTCATTTATACAGTGGGGTCATTATAAATTTTAAGATTAAATGACACAATGCATGACAAATACATAGTGCTGTAACTGCCAGATAAATGTTCATCTTTTTCTCCACTCATTTTATTTGTTCTTTTTAGTTATACATGACAATGGAATGTACTTTGACATATCATTCATATATGGAGTATAAAGTCCCGTTCTTGTGGTTGTACATAAAGTGGAGTTACACAGGTCATGTACTCATATATGAACATAGGAAAGTTATGTCCGATTCGTGCTACTATCTTTCCTATTCCTTCCCCCGCTTTCCTTCATTCCCCTTTGTCTAATCCAATGAACTTCTCTTCTCCCCTGTCCCTTGCTGTGTGTTAGCATCCACATATCAGAAAGAACATTTGGCCTGTGGTTCTTTGGCTTATTACAGTTTGCATGATAGTCTCCAGTTCCATCTGTTTACCAGCAAGTGCCATAATTTCATTTTTATTTATAGCTGAGTAATATTCCATTGTGTATATATGTCACATTTTCTTTATCTATTCATCTGTTGAAGGGCACCTAAGTTGGTTCCATGACTTAACTATTATGAATTGAGCTGTTATAAACATTGCTGTGGCTGCATCTAGACACGTTTGAAATTCCCATAAAATATTTATCCTGGGGTTGTGTCACCAAAGCTAGTTTTCAATGTGATACAGTTTTTACAAGGAATCAAAATCATGGTCACAGTGAATATGTGTAGAATGCCACTGTTAAGTCAGGAATAAAGATAATTGTCACTCCTGAATGTGAAAACAGAACTGTGAAAACACACTGGAACAAGAGCCACCTTTCCTTTAGGAAAGGCACTTGACCATGGTAAACGTAACCCTTCATTTCTGAGTCTCTTTTGTTCATCAAGTTTGCCCCTCTGGTGAGAGAGAAGCGTGGATTTGTTGTGAAAGCACTTGCAAGATGGCAGGTCCTCAGACTACCAGCCCTGAGTTAGCTCTTCGGAATCAGAGGCCAGCTCTTCAGTCTACCCATCCCTCTCACCCTGGCATCGATAGAAAATGTCAGTAAGGAGGACGCTGTGGGCAGGAAGCAGAGATCTCTGTGATTAGGTCTTTTCCATGGCTGTGGCCTCCCTAAGGCTGCAGCCTCTGCTCAGGCACAGCAGTTTCCTTTTCCTGGTTCAGGTAAGCAGAGTGAATATTTTTCAGCTGCAGAATTTTCCAGGTTTCACTGAGCTCTGGAAAGAGCCAGAGGTCCCATCAACCAGGAAGGCTGTGGAGTGAGGATGTAGCCTTTTTCTCCATGAGACTCCAGTCAGCTCTTGTTTTGGCTGGTAGGGGAGCAGAGACTCACTGCCGGAAGCCTGACTTGTGGCCAGACTTGTGGCCAGATGGTCTCACCATCCAGAGGCTCCTTCCTTTCCTTCACCATGGTTTCTTCTAAGGTCAGAACCATCAGGGACCCCAGCTCTGGGCACCATCCAGCTCATGCATGGCAGACACCCTTCCTGTTCACAGGGAACTTGGGATATATCTAAGTTTGGGGCTTTACTAGGAAACATAAGCAGGTTAGTATAGGACAAACACTGTAGACTTTGGATTGAGACTGTTCTGGGTTCACATTCAACTAGTAGGTTATCATTTGTAAAATGGGTTATATTAAAGGAAAGTGCCCAGCATGATATCTGGCTATGAAAGACCTTAGCCCACATAAACTGCATAATATGATATCTGGAGGTACAAATTCCTGGTGTTGGATCATGGTTTAATGATATTAAGGCCATTATCTTTGTGATTCTCTTAATGTTTCCTTGTTTGTTAAATTTTAATCACAAATGGCTGTTGCTGCTTCAGATATCAATGCTGTGTCCAAAGGAGGAAGAATGAAAAGGAACAATGCTTGCTTTCTTTGTTCCTTTTGTCAGGATAGTAGGAACTCTTCCAGAAGCTTTTGACTAACTTTATGTTATATAGCCATTCCTAGATGCAGGTGAATCTGAAAAGGCAAGAACTTGGCCTTCTAACTGCCATAATGGCTTGGGAAAGGGGGGCTGTGAAAAATTAGCCATTTATCAGTGTCTGCCATAATGTCTTTCTTTTAATTATGAGGAATTATTCTTTAATATTTCTTTTAATGGCTATTTCTCCCTTAGAATCGTTGTACCTGAACCTTCCCTTCATAGTTGTTTCTGGGTTTTTTTTTTTGTTGTTGTTGTTTTGTTTTTTGTGGGGGTGGGGGGTACTGGGGACTAAAATCTAGATATGCTTTACTGCTGAGCCATATCCTCAGCCCCTTACCAACGACCAGCACTGACGAGATGAACTGGGGTTTAAAAGAGCTGGCTGCAACATTAAACTAAGAAAACGGCCAAGAAATCATGCAACATACAGAAACGAGTTTTACAGATAGAGGGTGGGACTGCTCTGTGATTTCAAGAGTCCTCTTCCATGCTGGAAGGCAAGAGAGTGGGTGCACCCAGGGTCCCTTTATTTATAGGGAAAAGACAACAAAGGATTTTCTATAGACTATTCTACACCAAATAACGCAGGGATAAGGTTTCAAGGGGGTTGCCCAATCCCATTGAGTAATGCTCAAGTCCAGAGTTGAAGCAAACTTCTTTACTGAGCAAAGGTGAAGGCCACTTGCTTGGCACAGCACATGGTGTGTGATGCCAGACCAACACCCCCTTACTCAAGGCTGAGAGGGGATGCTCAGCTCATGGATAGGCAGCTCCCACATCAGCCCTTTTTTATTTTTTTAATTTTGAGGCAGGATCTTGCTAAGTTGCTGAGGGCCTCACCAAGTTGCTGAGTATGACCTTGAATTGTGAACCTCCTGCTTCAGACTCCCATGTTGCTGGCATTACAGGTGTACCTGGCTTTATAGTAGCTTTAATCCTTTGAAAATAATGAATAATCAAAGCATAAAGTATTCTTAGGTTTGTGGAGTCCCCACTGCCATGTAAAGAGGAAATAAAGGAAAGTAATTATAGAAAAATAGTATGTATTTCAGCAATATGTATTTCAAAAGAAGTAATG